TGGAGGACAGGCAGTACCTCACTTCACTGTGTCTGGTCAAAGTGGGGTGTGGCCCAAGCAATGGCTACATTCCTGTGTATCTGAGTGTATGAGTTGCTGGGAGTCTGGAGCTAAGTGACTTCTGCTGAAGAATGTCACTGCTGAAGCACCTGTCCCAGGTGCTCCAACTACCCTGGGGGCTTGTGGGCCAGACGAAGTCTTCCTGCGTTTCCCACCAGTGACTGCCTGAGAAACCTGGAGATGAAGGATGAGAAAGCTACCTGGTGAAACTCCAGACCATCTCTCTCGGTGCAGAGATCTGGTTCCTCATGAGGTGGCAAATGCCAGCACTGTGGACGTGGGGCGCGCTGCAGGTCCTAGGCACCCATGGTTCACAAGCATCTCAGTGGCTTCTTCACTGTCCCTAACAACTCGTGTGTGTGTGTGTGTGTGTGTGTGTGTGTGTGTGTGTGCGCGTGCGCGCGTGCGCGTGCATGTTTTGGCTGAAGATAAAACTTAAGCCAAATGTAAAGTTCACATGGCAGGGCAGCAATGGGGACAGAGCCTGCACCCCTCACTGCTCCCATGAGCAAACACCACCATACAGTTTCCTACCCCCTCACGCAAGCCCAGCCTGTGGCTGCTGTGGCCTCACACTTGGGGTGCCCAAGAGAGCAGCCCTGGTTGAATGTGGGACATTGCAGGAACCTCCAATGTTGTTGCCAGGTTACACTGGCTTCCTGCCAGGCTGGCTCAGCCTGGGTCTGGTCTCAAGGCTTGGATTCAGTCTCCTTTGGGGCGTGGCACCTGATCGAACCGTTCCTTTTGGGAACTGGGCTTCAACCTTAGCATTTTGTGAATCAGCTGCTTCCATTTGCCCCTCTGCCCTCACGGGGGGCATCGCCACTAGCTGCTGAAGCACCTGTCCCAGGTGCTCCCTCTGATTACCCTCCACTGTCGATACTCTTCAGTGTCACTGGGGGTTAGAATGCTCCAGGGAACTGCTCACCTGCTCTGAGCACTTGCTGGAGTCCAGGCCCGTGCAGAAGAGCTGAGTTTCTGTCCTCAGTCTGGAATCTCCCTGGGTAGACCATACTGCCAGTGTTCATAAAGGAAACGTCCATGCTCCTATTGACTTCTGGGACCTAGAAAAGCCACTGCAGCCTTCGTTAGCTGTACTTGTGATAGAACAAACAACTATAAGCAGTCGAGCTATGATTTGGTTCGTGGTTTCAGATATTCCAGTCCAGGGCCAGATGGTTGCAGAGAAAGAACATGATGGCCAAAGGGTGACCCTGGTGAGGTAGAGCATGATGGCAGAAAGGTGACTATATTCAGGCAGAGCAAGATGGCAGAAGGGTGTGACAGAGAGACGAGCTGCTCACCTGTGGCAGCCAGGAAGCAGAGAGCCACAGGAAGGACCTGGCACAAGATGTATCTTTCTAGAGCATGCCTCACCTCCCAATAATGCCATCACATGGAAAAAATTATTCTACCCATAAGATCAGGGCTCCCAGGATCCAGTTGCTCCCTAAGCTCCACCCCTGAACATCCATGTATCAGAAACCAACAGGTGGGATTTGGGATTTCATAGCAAACTGTAACAGTATCAGCAAGAGCAGAGGCTGGACAGAGCCCAAGAGCCCTTGGGAAGACAAGGCCACGGGTATTGGATGGCTCCAGCAAGGCCTGCAAGCCCAGATGTGATGTGCACAGGGCATCTATTATGGCTGTGAATCTAGAATAAGGAGATGACCCCAGCATAATTTAGAGGCTGCATTGAGTGGATGCAGAAGACACCTACAATCTAGGTTTCTCAAGGAACTTCAGACTCTAGGTAAACACAGAGCCAGCAGTGGATGTCTCTGGACAAATCACTGCAAGGCCAGGACTAGTCAGTTGGGACCAACTAGGATTTGCTGTGGCTCCTTCAGATTACTGGAGGTCAGAGGTTGGTTCCATCTCACAGTTTGGTCCTACGGTCACAGAGAGGCCATGGATGCCTCATGTGTCCTGGTTTCCCTGATCGTCTACGTGGACCCCAGTCTGTCTCAGCCCTGGGGACTCAGCAGTGGCACAGCAGCGGCAGGGGGAGTTGGCTGGGAATTTCCAACATAGGTGAAGATAAAGTAGGGCATGGGAATGTTGAATGATGGGCCAACTCACTCTTCTAGAGGAAGGGGCCAGATAAGGCATGTTACAAGGTCCTCAGCCCATTTGAGGGCTGAGATGTGACCTTTTAAGTCTCTTAGAACCCAGCTTCAACTTTCTCATTCTAAGGGAGGAGATGACAGGAATGGTGAGTACTAGCTTCTCAGTTATAGAAAGTGCTGTAGTGTGAAGCTAGCCTACCCCTCCAGTCCCAGCTGCACCCAGCCCCAACCAGGAGCCTTACAGTGGCTCCTGCCATGACCAGAAGCCAACTACTCCCTGGCTGTAATGGGCAGGAGGCTGATGACAGAGCCTTGGTCTTAGAGGTAAACTCAGGAAAGGAGTTCGGGGTAGGTGGCGTGTGAAGGATTTCTATCCATCTATGCTTCTGGATCTTCAACTTCATACGCACATTCAGAAAGTCACTCAGCATCCCTGGGACTGCAAAATCATTTCCAAGTCCATAACTAAGAGAGATGCAGGAATGTTCACAAAAGTCAGACACAAGAATGGTAATGAGTCAGCGTCTATTGCCTTAGAGGCCCATCCACAATGGAATGTCACAATGGAATGCTGTTCAGGTGTGAGTATATGACATGGGCAGCACAGACAGACAGACAGACAAACAGAAGAACCTGTGTATAATCCCCACTGATCATGCAAATATCTGTGCTGTTAAGAGTCAGGCTATTGGCTGACCTGGGGCTGGAGAATCTGCCATGCAGGTCATCTCTATGTGCTTGACCTGATAGGTTTATGTTATACCCAGGGTCTGTAAACATCTCTGTCCACACCTGAGGAAAACGGTGACTTTAGGCAACAGCAGTGACACCTCCTGCTTGAAGCAGAGCCTGGCACATGGCTAGTCACTCATAATCTACTGACTGTGCTAGCAGAACAGAGAGCATACCCTCCTGCCCTGAGCAGAAATAGAGGCAGGGGGATTATCAAGCCTCATGAACAGTGCACGGGGAGCACTGACAAGGTGAGAGCCAAGTATTGTCTCCCTGCGGGGAGTGGGAAGGCCTGAGAAAAGCTTCAGAGGATGTTATGGAAGAGCCTGAAGCACAAAGAGGGACCTGAGTGCCCTGGGGAGGAGGGAGGTAGGGATGTGCACATCCATGCTGGGGCGGCCCCAGGAGCTCAGCTGTGTTCCGAGCTTCCCTGGAGTGGTCCCGACCTACCCAGAAGGCCACGCTCCAGGAGACCTTTCTTGTGCTCTGGGCACAGCTGCAGCTTTGGGAACCATCTTCCGCAGACTGAGCGGAGTGGAAACACTGCTCTAAAAGGATCCCCAAAGTTGTGAATTATTTATCCACTAAAGCATTCACCACGGATGAGCTGGCGTTCTTCTGGCAGCACTCCCTCCCCTCCTCCTGGCAGCCAGATTGGGCCACACCTTTGTAAAACCTTTTCTCGTACATCCCCGAGACTGTGGCTGTGGCTGGAGCTTTTCCGAGGATCTGACGGCCTTCTTCAGCCTGGGGGAGCTGAGAAGGGCAGTATGGGGCTGAGCCCAGAGCCCAGCTCCTGGCTGGCAGCCCAGTGCTGTCCCTGCTGGTGTCTCTCTCCAGCATTTGCAGCAGCACTTTCTCTGGCTGTCTGCCCTTAAGGCTGGAGCCTTACAACTGTCACACAGTTCTGCAGACGGGCACCTGCCCTGTCAGCTGTGACCATGCCCTTGCCACCCCAGATGCCAGTGTGGCTTACGTATGCGCCAGGGCCTGCACTCTCAAGGAACAGCTTAGGGGTCTGTAGGACAGTTCCTCCCCCTCCTGTGGCAGCTAAGAGGCAGAATGGGACCCAGAAATGTGGCTGGGGGCGGGGGGGGGGGGGGAGATGGCCCTGTGGTGAGTGCTTGCTATGCAAGCACGAGGACCCGACTCTGAATCCCCAGAACCTGTATGTGCCTGGAACTCCAGCCTGGAGAGGCAGGTAGATGGATCCTGGAAGCTCTGCGGTCTTCCAGCTTAGGCAAATCATTGAGCTCTGCGTCAGAGAAAGACCTGCCCTGAGGAAATAAAGCAAAGAGCAACTGGGGCATGTGCACACCAGAAAACAAACGGATGAAATTGAGACAGACAGCTGGGAGCCAGCCCTAAGGCTGCCCGTCTTCTGAGTTTGGCTTCACACCTCATGCCTCCTAGAAAGTGCCATCATGAGGTCCACAGAGACAGCATTTGCATCTCCAGAGACTCCTTCAGGTGAGTTTGTCTCCATGCAACAAGACAATACTCAGTGAAACCTAAGTGTTAGGAGAGGTATAGGGACCTCAGTTTAGGCCTGCTACAACCTTAGTATATCAGAGCTGGGTATTTAGAGGCGACACCTGATCTATCCCAAATGAGGCAGGGGTCCTCTTAGAACCCTGTGCTAATGCTTCTGTGTGTCGGTTGCTTAAAGTACTCATCTCTGAGCCTTGCCTGCCAATCAGAGGGTCTCCATGCACTCCCCTCAGGCGGGAAGTACCACCCTGCACCCTCTTCTGGAGGCAGAGCCTTTGCAGCTCTTGGGAGGTGCTACTCCACAGGCCCGAGGCAGAAGCAGGCTCTGCTTTCTGTGTGTCTGCTCTGCACATCTATTTCTTGTGGGTTTGCTTAGCTGTCCGTAAGAGTTGAACCAATGGCATTGGCCACCTGGGTCTCTGGGTGACCTGCCATGTCTGCTACACAATGACATAAAGGCCCAGGACCCAACATGCCTAAGCCTTCCTCTCCTTGGCTGCCCTGAACCAGCCATGGGAATGCCTGGTTGTTGAGGCCTGTGACGGAGCGGTTTATTTGAAGAGTATGAGGGTCCCTGCCTGGATAGAGTGACAGACAGGAGACTGGCAGGCATGAGGGATTCAAACAGAGAGAGACAGGCAGGACTCAAACACGGAGACATTTATTGTTTTGCAGGGCAGGCCTCCTGCTCGGATGAGCTTTACATGAACATATCAACAGGGATGCCTGCTTCCCAGGCTGCTGCTCTCTCCAGGCCACACTTTGCTCTCCACAGCTGCCGTGCGCCCCACCCCATGTTACTTACACCGAATGCCACTGGGTAACTGCTATTTTCTAAAGGGCTGGGCAGGACAAAGGTAATATTCCGAGCAAAATGAAACCGGCCTGTCTGCTGGACTGACGCTGCAGCAGGGACACTACACTGAGACGGGAGGGTGGCGGGGTGGGCTGGAGAGCCCTCCTTGGGTCTCTGTGCAGGAGTGTGGGAGGCAGAGGCTGAGTCTGTTCAGGGTCCTCTCCTGCCTTCCACAGCACTGGGCTCTTCCAGGGAGGCCTCAGTCTTCAGCCACAGGCGGGGGCGCGAGCTGCAGCTGGAAGTTCTCATTCTGGAAGATGCTGTTGAAAGCAGAGCTGCTCTGGGAGCCAGCAAATGGCCTGTAGCTGTCCCCACGGTTCTGGGAGAGTTCCATGAGGAGAGCCAGCTGCAAAGAGAAGCACATGAGGTGTGGGCGGACCTGTGTTCGGACAGAGATGGAGAGGGGGTCCTCTGGATTCATGAAAAAGTGTGAAAAAGCCTGGGTTTGGAGCCCAAGGTCATGTCTCATGAAAGGGTGTGCCTTGGCACATGACTGGGCCTGGGTAGGGACTACTGCAGGCATAGCGGCCCTCCCTGTGCACAGCCTCCCTGTAGACTCTCTTCTTGGCACATCCCTCCCACAGGCTTCCTTTTGGGCACCTTCTCCCAGAATTACCACTGGCCCGGACCTCTCTCTGTGGTAACCTGGACCTCTGGCCACCAATTGAATTTGGGATCCAGAGTAGCATGCGTGGATCCCACCCCTCCTCCAAACATGCCCTTCTGGCTGCAGCTGTATGTCTCCACCAATGGCGTTAGCAATACTCCTGTCCTGTCAGTGGCTTAGCTCTGGAAAACCTGCCAGGAGACAATCCTGCCAGCCCACTGCAAAGCTAGGTTGTATACTCAGTTGCCTGTCACCTAGCTGGCTTTCTGCAAGTCAGAGCCAACAGCCTGGCGCTCAGATGCCCTCCACAATCAGAGATGAGTGCACACCCGGGAATGGAGACCTCAGCCTGCTAAGCAACACCTGCAGTCTCCCACAGTGCTAACTTGAGAGGGAAACTCAGGGCCAAGGTGCAAGCTTCCCGGAACAGTGGATGGGAGCTGGAGCTGGAGCACGGTGCTCACGGCCACTCTTCTCAGGAGAGCTGCCGAAGCTTTAGGGAGGGCCGTAACTGCCTTCTGTACGGACTCCCCAAAGAGAGGTGCCGTAGCAGGGAGCCTTCCAACGCTTCAAGGTGACCATGTGTGCATCTGTCTCCTGGTGTAACTCGTGCCTGGGAATGTCTGCAAGCCTCAGGCAGCTGTCAGACAGGCTGGGTGCTTTGCATGGGTGGCATGTCCAGTCCTTCACAGAAGCTGAGGAGTGACTGGCCCGCCCGGGAGTGAGTGATAGGGCAGGATTCAGACTCAGATACACATGGCAATCTCTATTTGGCCAAGCTGCCTGTGGTCTTGCCTTCTGGAGGCGACAGGCCCACCACCTGTGCTCTGCTTAGCTGCCCTGACTTCTAGCCGTTCTACCTCTGGCAAGGAGTCTGCCACCACACTGGCAGCAACGGTACAGAGCTCATGTTGCCATTTGCTTGACAGTGTGTAACCGGTGGCTACACTACTCAGGGAGCCGAGGGAGGCCCTGGAGGACCAGTCTATCAAAACTGAGCCAGTCCTTAGTCCTGGCTCAGCAGTACAGCCATGGAGTGTGGCATGCTCACTGTCACAGTCGGCGTCAGCTGTCATCCTGACACAACTGGCCACCTGGCAAGAGGGAACTACAACTGAAGAACTACCTCCATCAGACTGGCCTGTGGGTAGGTCTGTGGGGCATTTCCTTTATTGTTAATTGATGTGGGTGGGCCTGGCCCACTGTAGTGGTGCCATTCCCAGGCAGGTGGGCCTAGGCTGGGTAGAAGAGTAGCAGCGGTCACTAGAGAAGAAGCCAGAAAGCGGCACTCCTCACGGTATCTATTCAAGTCCTGCCCTGGCTTCCTGCCCTGGCTTCCCTTGATGATGGACTGCACCCTGTGAGCTGTAAGAAGCCACGCTTTTGGCATGGTATTTATCACAGTAGCAGACAGCACACCAGGGCACTCAGTAACTCCAGGCTCATACTCTGACTGTGAGCCTTCAGCCTGGAAGGCAGCGTGTGGGGCTGGCTGGCTCATGCAGAGGGCCAGGGCCTCCTCGGATACCCTGCAGGGGAGAGACACTTCTTGTTCATGAGCTCCATCCCACCACACTCTCGGCCCCTGGAACCTGCCCAGCTTGAGACTGCTCTGTGAGGAGATCATGCCCAAGGTTTCCAACAACAGGTGATAGACACTATACTGAGGGGTTTCTGTCTACATTCTGACCCAGGGCAGAGAGACCGACCACAAACATGGCTCCTATTTCTTAGGCAAGAGCCTTACTGAACCTTCCTCCTGTAACTTCGTGACTAGGGAAACACAGGCCCTGAGTAAGAAGGGCTCAGTATGTGAAACATAATGGTGATTCTGACTCCTGTACCTGGTCTGAGCTTGGTGGCAAGCAGGGACAGGTAAGAATGATACCAGTCAGTTCAGTAAAACTGCAGGGTCTCATTTGGGAGAGTCTGGAAGTTTCCAGAAATAAGAACCTCTGTCCAGACCAACTGCTCAAGAGGAATGCCACTTTCTCCTCAGTGTCTGCCTGAGAATAGAGAGCAGGGCTACGGCGCCCAGAGGCACCTGGGACTAGACAAGCCAGAAAAGCACTGGGCTTTGTGTGATTGGGGTGTGAGCTCTTTCTTCCACCCTTCACCCTTTTCTTCTTCCCTTTCAACCACCTAACACTAGATGAGACAGACAAAAGGATAAAGAGGAAAGAGAGGAGATCCCTGAATAAAGTCAGGTCTGAAAGGGGGCATCATTATCGTTAAGACTACTTCCTGCTGATTAGGGGCACTGAGCTCCTTGGGTACGGTAAGTTTGATCTTTGAGGCCAGGACATCTTAATTTTTTTCTTCTTGTTGTTTCTTCTTTGCACACGACTACTTAATAAACCACAATCAACAGCAACCAACAATTCACCAATAATCTAACAGTTTCTTGGGGTCCTAGCATTTATATACTTTTTGGAAAGTCCCCCAAATTCCAAATGTTACACAATCACAGAAACTAGCTGCCCCTGGCAAAAAACACGCCTCTGCTACAGCACTAAGCAAATCATAGTAGGCTGCTGCATATCAGGCCCATACCCCTACTCCTGGGATTAAAATGAAAATATATTTTTATAATATTTCTGTGTTTTTAAAGAAACCAAAATTCCAAAATTCTTACTACATTTGGGTGTGACTCAGAGTGGAGGTGCTGACAAGTTCTTGTTCCCTCCATCAGGTGGCTGGGGGCCAACATGGGCCTTGTAGAAGGGAAGGAACTAGAGGGGCACTCACTAACCAGATTGTGTGGCCTCTGTGGTAATGATGAACGCTCACCAAGAGCACAGGCAGAATGGAGGGGAAAGGTCTAGGAGTGCAGAAAAGATGCTTCCAGGGCTTCCTTGGGATGAAGAGCCCAGGGTACCGCCAGGCCCATGCTCTTGATGACTGGATGCGACATGAGCCATTCCTTGGACAGGCACTAAGCAAGGAAGGGCAGGGAAAGCCCAGGGAACAAGCGAGCCTGCTATGGACGCCTGTGCAGTACTGACTGCTAGTAGCCTCACTCTCCTACCAGTTCTGCAGACCAGAGGTCCAGCCCATGTCCACTCTTCCCAGTCTGCACTGTAGCTGGCGAGGTGGTCACAGATCTGCCTTGTAGACAAGGGACGTACTATGCACAACATCTAGCCACTGCTCGTAAAGAGAGAGCTAGGCTTCACCTTTCTTTTTTTCTGCTTGCTGGTTGGCGTGCAGAAGTAGTGTTCAGACCTGGAGCAACCATGTTGAAGTAAGTTTATAAGCCTTTTGGCTTCCTGCATTTAGACTTCCATTTTGTTCATGCAATAAATTCAAGAAAGCAGATGTTGAGGGGGCCCTGGCCACAGGGCAGATCTGGCAGTCTTGGATATACACAAAGGCCTCCTGAAGGAGGAAACAGGCTCTGGCTTGTCCTCTACAGAGACAGGCCACACATGGGCTTTCTGTGTCCTCGCAGCCTGGGAGAGGTAACAGATGCCTCTCTACTGCCTTTGCCCTTTTACCAAATTCTGAGTGCTCTTGGGGCCAGGAATGGTGGGCCATGTTGTCAGAACAGGTATGACAGGCACCTTCTCAAGCTGGAGCTAGCGGCAGGACTCTAAGACACCGCCTTCCCCAAACGGGTAATTCCAAATTGGAAACAGAAGCATCAACCGAACAAACATTACCCGAGAACTTCCTCTGTAGAGCCGGCAGAGCTGGTCAAAGGCTTGGATCTGCTGTGGGTCCAGAACGGGTTCTGAGTTTGCCTGAGAAAAAAAAAAAAAAAAAAGATCAGATTAATAGTGACATGTTTGTCCCTGAGCAGCCTCTGACCTTCTTCACATGGATGAAGCAGGACACTGGGCATGGCAGTACCCTTGTGCGTCTGAAGAAAATGAGGCTCTTGGCAACTGAGGGGTTTCTTTGAGAGTTCAGAAGAAACAGCCTGGCCTTCCAAAGGCCTGAATGCTCCTCTCAGCTTGGATCCTTTCCCTAGCAAGACCTCTAAACTCCCCATTCACGACCTCCCTCAAGAGCTTCTGAGCAGAGGACCTTTGGCCCATTCACTCTTGTACACTGTACCCAGCACTTAATGCAGCCATTTTCTTGTTCAGTGTAACTTTTCCTGAAAGAGCAGTCTGCAGCTGCTTGAAGAGGGGATGCTGAAGTGGACCCCACCCTGATCCCCCTCTTCCTCAAGGTGGAGCCTGTTCCAGCTGCAACAGATCTTGCCTAACTCACACTTTGGGATGGGAGAGGAATTCCAGGGAAGGAGCCCTGAGAGTCAGCAGCATATCTGAACATTAGCTTCTCATAGCATGGGAGCTTTCACTCCTCTGACCCTGGAGGTGACCCTAGGAAGGTCACTGAGAGTTAAGCTAGATGATACTCTGCTTCCTGCCTCGGTTATGCTAGCTGCTGTAACCACAGCTTAGAGACACCCTTGGTTGGAGGTTCATGTTGGAAGTGCTCTGCATGTCCAAGGCTGGTAAAAGGCATTTGTGCACTATGAGCCTCTCAGGCAGAAAGGAAAGGGTTTCTCACTCACCCCAACCCCCAAGTGGGGGACCAGAAGGGCTTCAGTGCTGAAGCAGGTGACGTAAGCCAGAGGGTAAGCACTGGGCGCAGAGAACAACCACTGGAAGCTGAGCACGGTGGAGCCCTGGCTACTGCGTGTTACCCATGGGCAATCTCACCAAGTCCTCCAACGCACTCTGAGAAAGGTCCCAGCAGACTCATCTTCCCACCAAGAAAAATATTACTGTAATTAATGTGATATGTGCGTTCAAGCCATGGTGCCTGAGTGGAGGTCACAGGACAACTTATAGGAGTCAGTTTTGTCCTTCTGCTGTGTGAGTCCTAGGGTGGAGTCCAGTTTCGCCAGGTTTGGTGGCAGTAACCTTTACCACCGAGGCTCTCGCTGCCCAGGAGGGAACTTAAGATACTATGATATACGGAAACTTTAGGACGTTTGTTAAGTTGCATTTGTCTTCTCGAAACATCTGGTTCCTTCCCTTAACATTTTCACCACCCTCAGGAGAAAGCCGACTGCAGCTGGGAATGGAAACAGGACTAGGTGAGACCCGCCTTGCCCGGCTGGCCTGCAGGTGCCACAGCTCTCTTCCAGTGGGAGGAAAGGAAGTTGGAAGCTCCAGAAAGCAGCAGCTGAAGAGAAGAGTGCTAACATTTGGGTTTCTAGGGTCTCATGTGATACCCCAAATACATGTCATAGTTGGTCTAGCTTATGACTACCTCAGCTCTTGATGCACTTGACAACATGGCTGGCTGAGAGGTAGCTCTGAGGGAGTGCAGAGCAGGAGGATAAGACCTGGGCTGCACTGTCATTCGGCTATCCTCATTTCACCGGATCTTGCAGACTTGAGGGAGCCCACCACAACCGGGGAGAGTTAGATCTGCCTTGACCCTTTTTAAGAACCACTGGCCTCAATATCATTTAGTGGGAAAAATGATACTTGAAAGAGTATGCATCACATTTCTGACAGACTTTATAAGATGCTGAAGGAAGCTCTACGATCTGAAGATCTGATAAATACAGCAAGCCTGGCTCAAAGCAAAGCCTGAGAGGAAATAACCATCACCATTAAGACACAAACACTGGAAAGCGTGACCCAGCACCACTTTCGCATCCCTTTAGCACTAGTGGCACAGGCTGCAATTAGAACACAGGGGGCGGGGGGGGGGAGGTACGCGTCCTGTACTGGACATCATCATACACCCTTGCCGCATCCCAGATAAAGGACCAGCTTTGGCAAGATGTTTTAGTTTCCTTTCTGTTATTGTGACAAATACCCTGACAAAAAGCCACTTAGAGCAGAAAGATTATTAGGTTTACAATCAAGATTTCAGCCCATTACTTCAGTAAAGTCAAGGCAGGAAGCAGACAGCATCAATGCATCATCCTTGCTTGTGCTAAGCTAGCGTTCTCTGACACTGCTCAGGACCCCCTGCTGGGGTGGGAGGTGGGGGTGGCAGAATGGTGTGGTCCACAGTAGGGCCCTCCTACATCAATTAACAATCAGGACAAACCCACACACGCATGCCCACAGGCTAACCTGATTGGGATTAATTCATTAAGACTCTAGGTGGTGTCAAGCTGAAAGTTAGAACTAACTAGCACTGGAGAGTTCAATAAAGAGGGTCCAACAGGAAGCAAACAAAGGACTAGTGAGACACCAGGGAAGGCAGGCCATTTGAAAAAGAGGTTACGATGAGATGAGCTGACGGTACCCAGAGTCTGCTTGCTGCCATGCAGCAGAGGATGAGCTGAAGACACCCAGAGGCATCCCCACCTCGGCATGGAGGTGTGCTAGAGGGTGCCGACGATGGGCAAGCATGCGGGGAGGAGCTGGGAGAGAAAGAGAAGGGGCATGGTTTGTGCCCTATGGAAAGAGGAACTGGAAACCTGTGGGTGGTGAGGATCAGCCTGATGAAAGCAGCCAGCACTGCCCCTGAGGCCATGGTGAGGCCCTGGCCTGTGCTGCCCCTGAGGGCTAGGTCTGGGTCTGTGTCAGTGTCCATGGCCCCTGTTACCACCAAGGGCCATGGAACCTCTCTGGTCTCAGATTCCTCCCAAGACCATCCTGAATTGGCCTTGCCTCTCACCTGAGCTGTAAGCACTGTGTGACACACGTGACACACCCCAGCTTTCACAGCAAGATTTTTCTCATTTACTCCGGCAGATATCTTTTGGAGGCATTAAGATCATTTTAGGAAAGTGAAGGTCATGTCACAGGGCAGAAGAATGCTGCTGCTAAAAACAGAATGGCGTCATCAAGCCCCTGGGAAATACTGTGTAGCATGTGGGTCTATTCTGGGCCTGGGGCACACCAGTGTCTGCCCTTGGGAGTTTGCTGGCCGAGTCAGAAGTGCAGAATCTTAACTAAGCCTCATTCCATGGTTTCTGACCCAGCATTTCTAGACTGCAATGTGAAAGGGAATCGCTCAGGGATATTGCTAAATGCTGATTCCAACGGAAACCCCAGAACGTGGAGGCTATGGCAGAAGGGTACTTTGTTCTGGGACACATAGTGAGACTCTCTTAAAACACAGTTTTGTAGTAAAAGCAGATTCAGACTAGCAGGTATGGGGTAGGGTTTGAAGACCAACACTGTTCCTTACGGTGTCCTGAGGGAGACAAGACACTTAGATTATAGTTGTTTTATCTCCTGGCTCAACTGTATCCAGCCAATTAGTTTGCATTTGTTTTTATCCATGGTGACTCAATTAGGTAAGTTGCCTTCAACATTTGTTGGGTTCACACACATACACCCTGGCAATCCTTGTTAAGGTTCTTTCAGCAAACCATAGTGTACTTGCTATACAGTTTGTTCCAATATTACTGTATTGAAGGGCTTACACTTTTACCACGTAAACAGGGTAACTGAAGACAGTAGGGACGCATGTGACACACATGCACATGGAGGACATGTTTCACCTCACATAGCATACCCAAGTGAGCTGGCAGGGCTAGTCCTGAGCTCTGGTCTTGCCAAGGTCCCTTTTCTTTATTAGGCCTTTAAAGATATTAGACATGCCAAGAGAAAGTGTTTTAGATGTCTGAGGATGGCCCTATAGGCTCATATGCTTTGAGCTCAGTTAGTGGAACTGTTTGGAAGGATTAGGAAGTGTGGGCTTGTTGAAGAAGGTATGTTACTATGAGAGGGCTTGGAGATTTCAAAAGCCCACACCCAGCCCAGTTTCTCTTCTCTCTCTCTCTCTTTTTCTGCCTGCGACTTTCAGATCAGATGTGAGCTCTCAGCTACTGCCTTCAGCACTAGGCCTGTCCGCCACCACATGCTTCCAGACAAGAACTAACCCTCTGAAACGATGAGCAAGCTCCCAATTAAGTGCTTTATCTTATAAGTTGCCTTGGTTGTGGTGTCTCCTCACAGCAATAGAACAGTGACTAAGACAGCATCTTAGAACAGTGAAGAACCACTGGAAGTTCTTCTCATATCATAAGCCTGTCCCTCTAGGCACCAAGAAATCACCTTCTGGGGGGACTGCGGGAGCCCTGAGATGATCTAGAAGTAGAGCTACTGCAGCACAGTGACATCCCATGAATGGCCAGAGCCATACACGTGACTCCAGGGGAAATGAGACAGCTGTTTATTGAAGTACTTGGGGTCTCTTAATGCTCGCCTGCCATCAAACCCTTCCTGAGCCGAGAGTGAGGAGTTTTAAATGGTAGCCACAGGTAGTGCACACAACTGCTGAGGAGAGGATCTGAACCCCACACTCTAATGGGAGGACAGTGAGGGTGGACAGGGACTGTCAAACAGACGTGCACTGAAGGATGCGGCTATGAGACTCCTGAGGTGCTGACTGGCTCCTGTTCTACTACCTCCAGCCTCATGAACTGGGATTCAGTTCTGTGGCTCAACAGGGATTTCTACGTCAGGCCTTGGGTAAAAAGACGGACAGTGCTTTCTTTTATAAGTTGCCTTAGTCATGGGTTATTTTCACAGCAACAGAAAAGTAACTAACATCCACCAATAGCTCCATAGAAGGATTTTTTATTTTTAAAATTAATTTTGTTGCTTGACAACTTTATGCGCATACATTATACATTCTAATTATTCTCTTCCTGACACCCCCTCTTGTCTCCCTTCCATCTCTATCATACCCTTCCCATCTTTATCAGTTCTTTTCCTAGGTTTATGACTTTTGGGAGTTGTTTTGTTTAGCCAGGGCCATCTGTGTGGGTTAGGGTGGGTCATGAGCCATCAGTTACAAACAGTAGTAA